CTTAAGTGTCGGGATTCAACTTTCACTGTAACTTTGCTCCTCTCCTCAACCCCTCTAGCCCCAGTCTATCCCAGGGGACTACTGCTTTATCAGAAGCACACTGAGCCGGTGGCGATCGGGTGACAGTGTTCTCGCAGACATGCTGCCTCAGGCTGCTCTGAAAATGCCCATTATCCTCTTTCAGCTTTGACCTTCACACCTTTGATTCCTTCTTCAGCAGCATAGGGGTACATCAATAGCAATATACTTTCTTCTACTTCTTTTTCAGACTATGGTGGACTTTTATGTTGCTAATTCCCAATGTCGTGTGTGTGTGTGTGTGTGTGTGTGTGTGTGTGTAGTAGAATTAAGGTAGTTTAGAAAAAGCCCGTAAGAAAAAAAAATAACTAATACTTCCTAGAAACATTTTCTTTCATTTCCTTGACAGTCTCCTGTTCTACATATAAGATATTAAACAAACTATGGTGAGGGAGCTCTCCTCAGTCCACACAATTTCTTAAAGGTGCAGAGAAACCTAATAAAAAACCCAACCACATGACTAACTCACGCAGAGATGGTCTTCTCTCGAGGTTCTGGAGGAAGTCCTACTGTCAAGTGTTTCTGGTAGGACAGAAGGTCTGTGCAGGCCTAGAAAGAGGTGGAAAAGCTTACCCTTTCCAAAGAAATTTCAGATTTTCAAACATTTTTTCTTCTCAGCCCATAAAACTTTATTCCTTTTTAACTTAAAACTGCACACCAAGCTCTTCTTTTCATGAAACATAATCAGAAGATGGATTGCCATGGGCACTTTCACCTTCTGGAAGGCAGGGACTTTCAGCCTAGTGTAAATTCACTAAGATATCAAATTCTTAGAGTTTATATCACCTCTCAAGTCTGTAGGTCTTATGGTTCAGTAACATATAATTGCTATTCACAAATAAAAGGCTAACTGACTACCCGAAACTTGATATACGTGATCAAAACAACTACAAGTTGTGGTTGCTTAAAGAAAAATAGGAAAAATCAAGCTTCCCTGCCTTGCAGTGCAAAGGGTTGAACCCAGGATCCCAGGAATGCTAGGCAATGCCCTACCACCAAGCTACACTCCTAGCACTAAAGCAAGTTTAAAAGTATCTCCCATCTAGATTTTGTGTACTCCGAGAACTTAGTAATACCTCATCAAGTGCCTCCACCTTCTTCCGTAAGATCCCAGAGATGTATCGGATCAGACCCCAGTGCCGAATTTCACCAACTTTGCCATATAGTTCACTAAGAAGCTCTCTGACAGTAGTAGCACCCCCTTCTTCATACATTTCGGTGTTCCAGTCAGGTCCTCTGGAATTTTCAACATGGGAGCACATTAATTATGAAAAAAATATTTTTAGCGTTATAATGGATACACCTGTTTTAGCCTCCATTAGCAGAAAACTTTTTACTAAAAACCCTTATAAAACTCTGAGTGTCAATCTTGAAATTGAAATGTCTAGACACGAACTTTGTAATTTAGCTTTTACGCAACGCATTCTTTTGCCCACATCTCAAGCTTCAGAACTTTGAATAGTTGAATCTGATGATAATTTCGGCCATGTTGAAGCTTGAGATGTGGGCAAAAGAGCTAATGGTACTAAAATTTGTTTGTGTTGAAAGGATCCAGATACAATTACACAACTGTATACAACCGTTATACAATTAAACAAAGTATGGTGAGAGAACAATTGTTGTTATGCTGTTATACAAGGATTGCTACACCAATCAACTTATCTGTAATTGGGAATTTAGTATATGACAAATGTAGGTAATTTATTAAATGATGTTAAAAGCATCAAGCAGCTATCTGAAGAAAAGTTGGACCTGTGCCTGATAGTCTAATGTTTGATGACATATAAATATTAAAGTGCTAAAAACATATGGGAAAATCATAATGTTGGAAGGAAGAGGACTTTCTAACCATGAAACATCACCAGAAAGCCATAAAAGAGGAGTTCAATAAGTTTACACACATAAAACAATAGACAGTTCTTACTGAAAAGACACTATACAAAAGGTAGGAAAAATTATAAAATAGGAAAGATATTTGTAATTCACAGACCAATTCTGCAAAAAGAACTCTAACAAATAAAGTAAAAAACAACAAAGGAAAACTGAGCAAAATAAACACTGGTATTCCATATACGTAGGAGAAGGCAGTCAACTTCACATGTTACAAGAAAAATTTAAATGAACATTACATCAAGATAACACTGTATCAGATCAGGCTGCTAAAAAATCCCCCAAATTGACACCACTGTATTGGATGTGGCTTTATCATTTAAACAGTCCCAGGTGGGAGTGAAAACTGGAACCAATGCCTCTGGAGGGCTATTTGCAAATATTGGAAAGAGCCTGGTAGTTCTTGCAGTGGTAGAACACAGAGTTCCCAAGCAGTTCAGTATTTCTACTCTTGGCTGTACATCCAAGATAAATGAAAACATGGCTGTGTACATGAATATTTACACTAGCATTAGTCACAAAAGCTGAAAACTAAAAATGAACCAAGTCCTCATCAAAGGATGAATAAAGAAACTGTGCTCCAGCCATACAGGCCGCATTTGTCAGGAATGAAATGAAGTACTGGTATATGCTACAACATGGAGGACAAACCTTGAACATACTGCACTAAATGAAAGATGCTTGTTACATAGGAGCACGGAGTATATGATTCACTTTACAGAAAATGTCTCAAACACCAGAAAGTAGACTTGTACTTGACTAGGGCTGGGTAAATGGAGGGTTTAGGGGCTGATGGAAAAGGGGAGTATAGTTTATTTTTGGGTCAATAAAAGAAGCAATGAACAGTGGTAAAAGATACACAATACTTTTGAGTAAACCAAAAGACACTGAGTTATATAACTGGACACTTAAAATGCATTCTTATGTGTACACACACACACACACACACACACACACACACACACACACACGTATATCTATATATGTTGGGCAGAAGAAATAGGGTTTCATGTAGCCCAGGCTGGCCTCATAGCCAAGGATGATCCAACTCCCACGTGCCAAGATTATAGACATGCACCACTAAACCTGGTTAAAATACCTATATATTTTGATCTACCAAACAATTCAAGTTATGGTTTAACTGTAGAATAAATTCCTTTCATATATATGAAACCATTTCAGACGTTATTTACTATAAGCATGATAGTGAATGGCTAGAAAATACCCAAATGTCCATCATGTTCTGACCTCTGCAAGTAGCAGGTATACACCTGGCATGCATACAAACATGCAGGCAAAACACCGTATAATCAAACACATAAAACAAACTAAACCTAAAAAAGGTTGAACTCTAAGAACGTATTGTCTATTCAAATATCAAAAATTTAAAAACATGGAAAAAAAAGTGCCTAGAAAGTGTCATCAATGGGTGCAAAATGAGCAAGTTTAAAGGTTTAAAAAAATAAGGGGCTGGAGGGATGGCTCAGTAGTTGAGAGCACTGTCTGCTCTTCTAGACATCCTGAGTTCAATTTCCAGCACCCACATGATGCCTTCTGACCATGCCTCATGGGACCCGATGCAGGTCCCATTCAGATAGAGCACTCACATAGGTAAAAATAAATAAATCTTTTTTAAAAAGTTAAAAAAGAATAGGTTATTATTCATATGGGCTCATAGTGTATCTCTACAAGACGTTATTTTATTCCAAGGGTAACAACAAACTTTTTAGTGAAGAAAACTGGAAGGTACTTCCTAAAATAAAAAAACCAACTCAAGAGCTCAGAATCAACATTATCAGCACAGGAAGGAACTTAAGTGGCAAGCCTGCAAAAATGCATATATTAATGTTGATAAAATTAAAAATGAAGATGCAGGAACTGTTCCAGATCAATGACAACGCAAGACACATAAGAGCTGAACAAAACACACAACTTTAGTTTTGTTTTATAATTCATACAAATACACACTAGCACTATTAAATATTTACATTTTAATCATTATTCTATGCATATACAAGAGGTTTACAGGTTTTAGAAAATGCAGCTTAAATGAACATTTGGGAGTAAATGTTGGTCACATCCATGAGGGGTAGTGAAGAAAAGGAGAGGAAGAGAAGAAGAGAAGAGAAGGAGAGAATAGAACAGAGTGTAGAGTGAAGAGAAGATAGAGGAGAAAGAAAAAAAAGAGACAGAGACAAAAACTCTGTGGAAACATCTGTAGGCTATGACTAAATGATACCCAAGTAGTTTGTACTATCTATATTTCCAACTTTCCTCTAACTCTGAAATTGTCAAAATGAGTTTGAAACACACACACACACACACACACACACACACACACACACACACACAAACTGTCATGCTATCTCAGAATCTGTGACCTGCTAATAAGCAGATGAAACCAGAGATGGCTTCACAGAGGTGACTAATGATGTAGGCTTTAATGGTAGAGAGAATTCAAGCAAGTAATGATGGGGTGAAAGATTTTCCCTCAGGTTCTGTCACCCAGAAAAACATAAGGCAAGGGAACTCTCAAAGGGAGTAGGGGGTTAGGGACATTGAAGGATATCGCTCAGCAGACCTGTAGGAGATCTGGCTAACTATTTCTGAAAGAAAAAATTTGTGGCTCACAGCTTAGATACTTCTAACATGTGAGATAGGGGTGGGGTTGTATAAAAAAACCAGGAAGGTCCAACATGGTTAAAAATCTGACTTTTAGAGGTTACATTTTTTCAAATGAAGTTTTTTTTTTATAATTATTTATTACAATTTATTCACTTTGTATTCCAGCTGTAGCCCCCTTCCTCCTCCTCTTTCAAACCCACTCTCCCTCCTTCATCTCCTCCCATACCCCTCTCCAGTCCACGGATAGAGGAGGTCCTCCTCCTCTTCCATCTGACCCTAGCCTATCAGTTCTCATCAGGACTGGCTGCATTGTCTTCCTCTGTGACCAGGTAAGGCTATCCCCACCTCAGTGGGAGGTGATCAAAGAGCCAGCCACTGAGTTCATGTCAGTGACAGCCCCTGTTCCCCTTACTCAGGAACCCACTTCGAGACTGAGTTGCCATGGGCTATGTCTGTGCAGGGATTCTAGGTTATCTCCATGAATGGTTGTTGATTGGAGTATCAGTCTCAGAAAAGACCCTTGGGCCCAGATTTTTTGGTTCTGTTGCTCTCCTTGTGGAGATCCTGTCCCCTCCAGGTCTTACTATCTCCCCCATCTTTTATACAATTCTCTGCACTCTGCCCAAAATTTGGCTATGAGTCTCAGCATCTGTTTTAATACCCTGCTGGGTAGAACCTTTCAGAGGCCCTCTATGCTAGGCTCTTGTCTCATTCCCTGTTTTCTCCTTCTTCTGAGGACTATACTGTTTGCCTTTCTGAAGGATGATTGAGCATCTTACCCAGTGTCCTCTTTCTTGCTTAGCTTCTTTAGATGTACAGATTTTTTATATTATTATCCTATATTATAAGTATAATATCCACTTATAAGAGAGTATATACCATGTTTGTCTTTCTGCTTCTGGGTCACCTCACTCAGGAAGATCTTTTCTAGTTCCCACCATTTGCCCACAGATTTCATGATTTCCTTGTTTTTAATAGCTGAGTAGTATTCCATTGAGTAAATATACCACGATTTCTGTATCCATTCCTCCATTGAGGGATATCCAGGTAGTTTCCAGCTTTGGACTATTACGGATAGAGCTGCTATGAACATGGTTGGGCAAATGTCCTTGTTGTATAGTTGAGCATTTTTTGGATATATGCCTAGGAGTGGTATAGCTGGATCTTGAGGTAGCAAGCACTATTGCCAATTTTCTGATAAAATGCCATATTGATTTCCAAAGTAGTTGACAACTTTATATTACCACCAGCAGGGGAGGAGAGTTCCTCTTTCTACCCTTCCTCTCCAGCATGTGTTGTCACTTGAGTTTTTGATCTTAGCCACTCTGATGGGTGAAAGGTGAAATCTCAGAGTCATTTCAATTTGCATTTCCCAGATGACTAAGGGCCTTGAGCATTTCTTTAAGTGTTTCTCTGCCAGTCGATATTACTCTGTTGAGAATTATGTTTACCTTATACCCCATTTTTAAATTGGATTATTTGATTTGTTGGTGCTTGTTTAAGTTTCTGAGTTTTTTTTCCCATATATTCTGGATATTAGCCCTCTGTCAGATATAGGGTTGGTCTGTAGGCAGTCATTTTACTCTGATGACAGTGTACTTTGCTTCACAGGAGCTTTTCAGTTTCATGAGATCCCATTTTTTGATTGTTGATCTTAGAGCCTGTGCTGCTAGTGTTCTGTTCAGGAAGTTGTCTCTTGTGCCAATGAGGTCAAGGTTCTT